AGTCACATGCTATAAAGTGGTTGTTATGATCCAGAAAATTCCAACCTGAACTCATTAGATTATTCTTATTAATAAGTCATCACCAGACATCGCTTCTGGGCTCATGACATCACTGTAACACCCTGAGGGTTGGGGGTAAAGAACGGCACTGTGTGGGAGTGCAGAAGGCCAGCAGCTTTTGTACAATGTACTGCACTTCTCGTGACTCACGTGCTCAACCTAACCTTACTTCATGCTATTTTCGTGCTAATGGGCTGATGTCACAAATATTACCTGCCTTATAAACAAGGCAGTGCTACGTTGAAGTGTTACAAAGGTTAACATGAAAGCATGTTAACATGAAAATCTGGTTAGAGCACTCGCCTTGTAAGCGAGCAAGAGGACCTGGGTTCAATTCCCAGGCAGGGCGAAACGTTGGGCAATTTTCCTTACTCCACATGCCTCTGTTTACCAGCAGTGAGTAGGAATCCGGTTGTTTGTCGATTGGCGGATATTATTCCCTTCAAAAAATAAATACAGCAGAAACCCGTTTGCAGACACCTCGGCAGTCCAACCACCTCACAATTGCAGGCACGTTTTCACAGTCTCTTTCACTGTCCACTGTTTGCTTCAGTAAACCGGGGACCTCACTATTCAGGACAATGATCATTGACTGCAGACTGTCAGCTACAAACACTCCTCTGCTACAAACCTGTGCACAAACCCGGGCCTCTGCGCACTGTTTACGCAATGCTGCTAATGTGGGCCAAGTAGGCTCTGGTCGCACATGCATGGCGCGGGCAGTGGTAGGATTCCAGAAGTGGCGCGATCGGGAAATTGGCTTCGCTCGGCGCCTGCGGCCTAAACTGAGCTCCTGAGACAAATTCTTGGTAAATGCTGTATTCAGAGCATGTGGTTTGTGTTTACCATCGTTTGTTTTGATTTAGTGACTGTTAACAAGTGTTGTAAACATGCCACCATGAAAGGAGTTGCTATCACCTGAGGGAGAGGACTTGATCAAGAACACTGAGGCCAAAAGTCATAGACAGTTACCTGTGATCTATGGCATTGACAGAACACAAGTTGAATGCATTCAAGGAAGGCTGAATATATGACAGCTTTTGAAGAAAATCAACAACCTGATAGAAAATGTATGTGATTGAACTCTCAGTATGAAGACATTGATAAACTGACATGGGAGTGGTTCCAGCCTGCCCGTGATCTCAACATGCCTGTGTCTGGCTCTTGATGAGACTGGCTTCAAGGCATCAAATGACTGGCTTGAGCCTTTCAAATCCAGACACAATATTGGATCTACAATTGTGTCTGGTGAAAAGGCTGACACTGCGCCTGCTATTGTTGACAACTGGAAACAGAAACTCCCTGAGATTACAGCTGGCTATGCACCCAAGGACATCTTTAGCACGGACAAATCTAGTGTTTTTAGGGCTCCTCCTGACAGGAACCTTCATGGTGATGGCTGCACTGGTGGGAAGAAATCTGAAGACCGTATCACCATATCTTTGACAGTCAACATGGAGGAAGATTTTGAATGGACAGTTGTGATAGGGAAGGCTGCCAAGCCCCATGCCTTTAGGAACTTGAACAGCAAGACTCAGCTTCCCATCACATGATACAGCAACCAAAAGGCATGGATGACCTGTGCCATTTTTTCTTAAAAAACAGAGTGACCTCAGACCTTCAATAGAAAGATGCAAACACAGAGCAGGTGCTGTTTCTGGACAATGCCCCAGCTCAACTTCACAATATTTCTACTCTAACCAATGTCAAGTTAGTGTTTTTTCCCAGCTAACACCACATCCATCCTCCAGTCCCTTGACCAAGGCATCCATCTAGAAGATTAACCTGTATTAGAATGCTGCTTCGCTTGGCAGAGAAGGGAAAAAAAGCCCCTTCTCAACAGGATCCCCCAAAATGGTTTCCACGTCCAAGCAGATGTCTAATAGAAAACCTAGCTATTAATCTGAATCAATATATGGTACAAATAGCTCCACATGTTCTGATCAATACTTCTAAGACCATCCCTTTAGCTACGTAAAGCCAGAATACCACATTTAGGAACACAAATTGCCATATCTCATTCAATACCCCATCGTTAAAATAGTGGATAGCAAAGGATTCCTAGATGAATCTGCAATCAATACAAAATCATCAGCAAAATAAACCCAATCAGAAATGTCTGGAACAGAGTCTAAAATTCTCTCTCACCTTCTCTGTGAGAACCTTCCCTGGTTGATCCATGGTGTTTTATAAGTGCAACTTGAATTTACAGCTGGAGTTGCAACAAGCTTGTCCAATCTCCTGGCTTGGACAGTGGCCAGATGATACAATTAGGGTTAATGCCATATACAAAAGCCATGGTAATAAGTAAAAAGCCCATTTCATACTCACTCAACGATGGTTCCATATTGTGCAATCCCAAATGCTAGGCGAGATGAAAATGTTATGCCAACATCCCTATCATTAGATCTGAAATGAGCTGAACTTAAGATTTTTTCAGCCAAAGACAGCCTGAAGTGGCAGTAAATTGCCTCCTCAGAAACTTTGCCCTTGAGAGAGTACGGAAACAATTCAATCAACAACAAGTTGCATTTATATAGCACTTCTCAAGCAGGGTAGCATTCCAGAGTGCTTGACAGTGGTGGAGCACAACACAAGCTGGGGGGAGGGAGAGGTGACCATAGGCATGGTCGAATAGGAAGGTCTTCAGGCGTGACCTGAAGATGGGGAAGGAAGGGGCAAGGTGGAGGGATAGAGGAAAAGTGTTCTAGAGTTTCAGGGAGCAGTGGCTGAAAGCATTGCCACCAATGGTGGAAAGAAGACAGGCAATGTGGCAGAGCTGGAGGAAGGCAGTCCTGGTCAGGGACTGGATGTGGAGAAGGAAGGACAGCTATGGGTCGAACCTGATGCCTTGGTTGTATAAGTCTGAGGGATAGGCCATGGAAATTGAGGTCAGATCCTCAGGATAGAAGACTTGACTGGAGCCAATAAGTATGGCTTCTGTCTTGTCAACAATAATTGTACAAAGTTTTCGCTCATCCATGCCTGCGTCCGCCAGATAATCCGAGAGAAAATCGCCAGACATGGAGTCGCAACTGGAGAAGTAGATTGTGTGTCATCTGCATACATGTGGAAGTTCACCTCATGTCTGTGGATGAGGGAGCATATAGATGAGGAAGAGGAGGCGGCAAAGGATGGAGCCCTGAGGCCGGAAGAGAAACAGTTTGTGGAGATAAAGTGATGGCGATTTGTTAGGTAGGACTCGAACCAGGCAAGCGGGGTTCCACTGAGGTGGATGAGAATGGCGTGGTCGACTGCGTCATACACAGCAGAGAGGTCCACAAGGACGAGGAGGTAGTAAAGACGATACCAGCTTTTAGGAATTTAAGTTACAAGGAAAGATTAACAAAGATTACCTACCTGTACAGTGCTCCTCATTCTTCAAATTGAAGACATCCTCCATCTAACATAGCATGAGGGTTGGATCGCTACCAAACATTTAGGGGATAACTTTTAAGACACTTTTGATGTTATGGGGGTGTCATGTCCCTGGAAGATGACCCCAAATGCCCCCCACCCCAACACACACCCACACACAACTCCCACAAAGAGTCTCTATAGGTACGAGGACACATTGGCTTGTAAACATTGTTGAATTCACTGGAAGTCATGGAGACTGGTACGTGGAGAATATCTAACTGTGTCCAGCTTGGTGCTGCAGGAGTATTTTCAGATTCTCTCTCTCTCACACACACACACACACACAAATATTCACATGAAACACTGTTCATGTGAATATGGCAGCCGATTTCTCTTAAATTTTTCCCCATGTGGAGAAACAAACTAAAATGCAGCACTGCCATACATACACACACACACACACACACACACACACAATGAATGGTGGTTGGGGTGGTCACACAAGAGCACATTGCAACATCTTATAAAAAAAAGTATCTTAAAGGAAAGGTTTACCCATCACCTCTGTTTGGTAACGGTACCGATCTCATCCTACACTGTGTGGAGAATGTCCGGAATGAAGAAAGGAAGTTGGATTTTCCTGGAATCTCAAATGGGAAGTGCTCTCTTGAAAATGTTTCTTGATTAGTAAAAGGGGAAATGATGTGGGCAAATTGATGAATGTGGTGAAAGTTTCAAACAAATGGGACACAAGTTAACAATTAATGCATTAGATGCAAGAAGGAAAGATAAGCAGAACGTTTTAACACAAAGGTAACAGGATTGTATAATAGTTTACCCATAAAGGCCATGGAAGCAGACAGAATAAAAGGGTTTAAGAGGCAACTGGATGAGTTTGTGGAGAAAGAAGGAATTGGGGGAATATGATGAGAAGGCAGGTAGGTACCTGGGGGTTGATACCTATCAAAAAAGGCAGCCTTGATTGGCCCAATATCCTTTTCCTGTCCCAATCATGGTTGTCATGATGAATTAAATCCTTGCTTCAACTGCAACATTTTTGAAATGGAAAACTATTGCGTAGAAAAGCAGTCACCGCCTACAAAAGCTGATAAACCCGAATTTAAAACTGAACTTGCTGTCACAGTATTTGCTTTAACAGTTAATGTTTACATACAGTACATCTATTTGCAGAAGGCTACCTCCTAGACACACATAAGCTTTACTAGATTAAGTTGCAATGCCCAAAACCTTCAAGGTAAGTAAACATGCAGATTAATTATTGCAGTTTCCACCTCCAATAATAATATCAAGTCTTGGGGCATCTGAAGTTCGATCACCACTATTTGTGTAAGCAGCTCAGTTACTATCAAACTGATTGATCGGCACATTACAATCATAACCAATGATTTGTCACACGGTAAAAATGCCTCAATCATTAATCTGTACGTTCATTTAGCAAACTGAGCAAGCTGGCTGTTGGCATTAACGGGCGAGCTACTAAAGGAAGATTGAAAAGACATGCAGGCTCCATAATCATGCAAGTTATCAAAACGCTATGTTACTAGTCACAAGATTCTTACCTCAGATTTTTCCAGTTTATTCTGAGCATCGATCTGAGTAACTATTTCATTCATATTGGTCTCTAAAACCATTCCTCCCATCACCATCTCAGCCAAAATATTGTGAACCTTTTTTAAAGGAAAAAAAAATATTAAAATTCAAATACAGCACAGGAGTTTTTCAGCATTAAAATGTTTCAATACAACAACAATCTAAAAGATTCAGCACCCAAAATCACTGCATAACTTTCAATACACATTTAGAAGTGAAAATGAACTTGTGAAGGGACTACATAAAAAATCTGCGGTTTTACAGAACTCCGATCAATTTTTCAGTTCATGACACACAAGCAACACACAAGAGATGCACGTACTTGGCAGAACTTTGCATCATTCAAAATAACCTGTAGCCTTCGTAAAATATTGTTTAAAAGAAAAAGATCAGACGGCTCAATTGATAAAGCCATCACAGTGTTGAAACTGAGCCCACACAGACCAGGAAGGTCCCTGGTTCCTTCCCTAGTTCAGTGGTGCTACCCCCACCCCCCCACCCGAACATAAGTCTAGGTAAGTCCGTGTTTGATCATAGAATCAAAGAATTATACAGCACAGAAGGAGGCCATTCAGCACATTGCGTCTGTGTTGGCTCTTTGTAAAGAGCTATCCAAATCAATCCAACTCCCCCGCTCTCTTCCCAATGCCCTGCAAACTTGTCCTCCCCAAATAAGTATCTACTTCTCTCTTAAAAGTTGTTATTGAATCGGCTTCCACCACCTTTCAGGCAACGCATTCCAGATCCGAACAACTCGCTATGTGAAAACATTTCTCCTAATCTCCCCTCTGTTTCTTTTAACAACTATTTTAAAATCAGTGTCCTTGGGTTACCGACCCACCCGCCAGTGGAAATAATTTCTCCTTATCGAATCCCCTCATAATTTTGAAAATTTCTATTACGTCTCCTCTTAACCTTCTCTGCTCCAAGGAGAATAATCCTAGCTTCTCTAGCCTCATCTGATAACTGAAGTCCTTCATTCCTGGTACCATCCTGGTAAATCTCCTTTGCACCCTCTCCAATGCCTTGACATCCTTCCTAAAGTGTGGTGCCCAGAACTGAACACAGTACTCTAGCTGAGGCCTAACCAGTGTTTTAGAACCATAAAACCAAATAGGCACCAGAGTCAAAGAGCCTATCAAATCAAAATATTCAGATTAGTAATGTGTCTTCAGTTTTTTCTTCACTGAATATTTCTTGATTAATGGCATAAATCAAGAAATATTCAATCCAAAAAAAAGGATTTTGTTGGCCAACCATGAAGGTTGGCCACCACTGCCTAGTTAGTGGCCAGTTACTTGATCTGAGCTGGACAAAGAGGGAGTAGGGGTGTATGTATAATTGGCCTCTGAGCTGCAGGGAGAAGGAAAAAAATAAGTAGCCGGCTAAATTTTCTACTCCCAACTATGTGATTCCAGCTGGAAAGCACACTTGTGTGGACTTCAGGTGAACATAGAATTGGATAGAGTAGCTGCACCATAGTCAAAGAGCCTAGCAAATCAAAATATTCAGATTCACACGTGACTAACAGCCACTTGAGCAAAGTGTCGAAGGGCAGCTGGTGTTAGTGAATAACATGGGTCAGCACTCTCAGAAGGAGAAGAGAAGAGAAAATTGAAGGGGAGAGTAAGGGAAACAGCAAATTTAGTGGAGTTGCCCGCTACCCAATTAGGAAAGTTTCTTGTTCATGTTTCAATTGGAAGTTACACCATTGTGATAATTGTGAATTCTATTGTTCGGTCTAGTATTGTGTGAGAAATTACAATTTGGTCTATAATTAAATTGAGGAGCTAATATCATGTGATGTTAATGAAACTGAAGTTATAGCTGGCAACAAAACAGTAACTTATCATATTGAGAATAGAATGCTTGTACTCAGCATTTTTTGTGTGTTAAATGGTTAACAAATAAGGCAATAAATTGAACAACCAAGGGCATTATGGCAGCAAAGAAGGGCTTGTAAGCAAGGAAAATGTAGAATAGGTTATAAGTTAGAAGAGGCAAATGTGTGCCAGATGTGCTAGATAATCAAGCTTTACACTCACCATTCACCACTGACCCAAGAAGAGAAGAGGCAGGTTGTATATATTGTATATTAAGAAGTTTCATAAAGAAACTAATACGTAACGTGTACGCTTGAGAAATATATACAGAAGTAATAAACATTTAAACTTGATGTTGTACCTGACCCCCTCTGTTCCCAAGTCTCACCCAACATCACAATTTAAATTGGATTTAGTCAAACGGTGACAGGGTTTATCCCTTGTCCTGGACAAAATTAATAAAACACAACACCCTGGGATCCTCTGGGGTGGAAGGGTGATGTGGAGGAAGCAAGACATTTGCCCAGTGTCATGAAGGAACCAAAAACAAACATCAAGTGAGATTCCTTCCTGCCTGTACAACTAAGGGGCATCCATCTGGACAACTTCACCCTCCCAACAAAAGAAGATGGGAAGAGAGAGCAAGTAAAAACAGAGAACGTTTTAATTCAGCAAAGGAGTTTGCACAAATTGTTTCGTATAATTGCACAACCACCGTTCTTGGACTTATCCAAATGGGGGATGAGGATTGGCTGATCATACTTTACACGTGAAGGGGACAACCAAGAAATGTTTATTCCATCAGGAGGGTAAATAAAGAGCAAACATGTTACTAGCACTTCTGTTTAATCAAATACGCAGTACGAGTAAAAAGGACAAAATGCTATTGATGCTGAAAACTTGGCTTCTATGCACAATGTGATGGGAAACAGATCTTTAGTGTGTTATTAAAAATTACGCCACAAATGGGAGTGCATTCCAATCTTATATACTGATAAATGCTGTCCATATCATGTGCTTTCAAACACTGACAACTTATAGCCATGTAAACCAAATGCAAACTTTTGTAAATAAACTACAACCTTTAACGTCTTACTTGCTAAACATGACTAGGGCAATTATGAAGAATAACAGAATAGTTCACTGAAATATAGCAGTAGATTTCCTACATCACGTTCAGAATATAAGCATTGCACCAAAAGGTAAGATTCATCTGCATCAATCCAGCAATACAATTTTCAGGTAGGAGTAGACCATTGCTCCACCTAAATTCTATCCAAACTACCCAAATATTCTTTCAACACATCATCATCAACATCTAATTGTTTAAAATCCTTTAAATTTCCAGGAACTAGATCCAAATCATTTTATTGCTCCTTGTTCCATGGTCTGTGCTGGTACACAGCCCTTTACTGAACACAATTCTCCTAAATTTCCTATTTGCTTTGGTTGTCTTTTTTTTTGATAACTTTAATTTTTTATATGGAAGTAAACTTGATTTGCATCCAAATTTAATAAGAATTCCTGAATTTGATAAAGAGTCTTGTATATCAGGAGGATATCTCAAATCACTTCACAGAATACGCTCTAATGTAAAGACTGTATTGTGTAGGCAAATGCAGCAGCCAATTTTAAGTGCAGGAATGTCCCACAAACAGCCATGAAGTGAATGACCATTTTAACTGGGGATTGTCGCCAAGATATCGGGACAGACTCCCTTGTATTTTCGAGTAGTGCTATGGAATCTTTAAAGTCCACTACGTACTGTAATACAATCAAAATGTTTCACCATGATAAGGCACTATAAAAATGTAAGTTCTTCCTATTTTTAGATAGCTTACAGGAGAGATTGGTTGACTGGCTCACTTTTATTCTCTCCTTTCGAGAAAATTCTCAGTGGTGCAGCTGCAATTAGGTACTCACCACTTGAGAAAAATACAGATGCCACATATTATCTAATCTTTCCTCAAACTGTGCTTTCAAGCTGCAATTTTTTAAAAAAAAAACTTGTGTAAACCTATTGATTAATCTTTAAAGAAAGAATATTAATTAGCTTGTCCTTTTCAACCCAAGTTAGAGTAATCCAGAATCAAAAATAACACCGAGCATTATTCACAGTTCAGTGATTTGAATTCTCTGCCAATAACGTGATGTGAATCGGCTTCAACAAATCCCAGCAATGCAGCTGCCGGTACTGAATGGAAAGGCTTCAGTCAAACCACAGTGCAAATAAAGCCATACAGATTCCAGAGAAGGTAACATACACACTCCAAGATGACAAGACAATGAAACAAACCACTAGAAGCTGTACAGGCTGTGTCCTTGCTAGAATGCACATCTGTAAATAGAATTAATATTTGAAAGGCAGCAGGGAAAGCTGTATACAAGCACGTTGCAGACAGTAGAACATTTAAACCGGACTACAGGATTGATGGAATAGAACAAATTAGGACTGGCTATTTTACAATAGATTTTACAAACATTATAATCCTAGTTAAATCTTCCAGATATCATTTAGCAAAGAGTGTTTTAATTCATCTTCCTCCACTCCATCACTTAATCTGACAAGAAAGGTGCGTGTCTGTAATATGTAGACACCTGTGATTTCTCAGTGGGTAAATGCAGTGGTGTGGCACTTACAAGATACTGTGTTGAGAAGACCGAATCTCACCTCAGGTCACTTGCCAACATCCACTGAACATAGGCTCTCAATTGCAAGCTTCAGAAATAATTTGTAAAAAGTCTGGAACTGTGCTTGGTCACAGATCTCTTACTAGGTGCTGAGATTACAAATTGGAAGTCAAAACCTAGATTCGAATCAACAGAGTTCCAAGGGGGCAAAACCAGGATGTGCAGGCTTTGCTATTTACTAATTCGGCTATAAATTCACCCACTTCAGCATTAGCAAATTGATCCAATGGGGATTTTCTTTTAGTCTTTGGATCTTAGCCAGTACAACATGTTGCCAAATTTTAAATAATCCCATTGTTTTAAAACAAAACAAGCATATAAAGCACCACTGCATTACCACAAAAATGGTTTCAGAAAGATAAATTCAATCCCACCATTAGCAGCAGTACAGCTTCTGAGCAGCACTGATTTTTTGGTGAATTCCATACACATCAAACATATTGCATACATTATACACAGACCCTATCTGAGACTTTGTGCACAGGACAAAATGGGCAACACTGGGACTCCTGTCAAGTGATCTGAAAGTGTTATATTGATCTGAACTGCTCCATCATCATTGT